CTCCCCGCTGTCTAGATCGCCATTACAAAAATAAGATTGAAAGATTCATTTTCTCTTACGAAATAATTATACAGATTTAGATTTGCCGTACTCATATTTACGACATTACAACATCGTGAAATAAGTAATTTATTTCACCGCAAATCACCTGCTTAATTAATTCATAAAATGGTCATGTATTTGTGGGAGGGGGGGGGGGGGGCTTGCTCAACTTATTCAAAATGTCAAGGGTTTCAATAAATGCTACGCTGTTGTTCACAGAATTCAAATAAAAAAAAAGTATGGCCACCGAACTACATGTACTATTCGTACAAAAAAATTGTCAAACACCCACGAATACTATTTATTTTCTTTTAAAAAGTTCACTTTTGCATCATGATGTTTTCAGACAGATGTGAAACAAACAAAAACGTTATATTTGTGTCGTTCTTATTTAGAGCTGCATTTCCACTGTACACGTACGTAAACCCTCGCTCCCAGAACAAGTTAAAATATATTTGCGTTAAAAGAATGGTGCATTAAAAGTATATATGTCGCCCTCGAAGAAGACTGCAGAACCACGCTTTACCTGTGCCCGAAATAGTGAAATGAAGTACACCATGCCCTGAGTCAGCGCGAAGGTTAGCTATACTAAAAGCATTATTAGAGAGCGCGCTCAAGGGTGCGCACATCAAATTAGAATTATTCTATTATAACGAGTCACACACGAGTAAAAATGACATTATTACAAAAAAATGATAAGATAATTAATTAAATATCAATATTTAATAATACGGTATATTATTAATAAATAGACAAAATAAATGTTATAGATAAAATGGTACATTAACATATTGTGTTACGTGATTATACAGCGAAACGTTGATTGCGAAATAATGACTGTCATTGTAAAGACGGGACCACAACAGCGGCGAAATGTCTTTTCTTTCCCAGACACATATAAGCGACTCACATAAGTATAATGTGAAACAAATAGTCTTGCGTCTAGGGCAACTGTAACAACAGAAGGTGAACAGCTCTGCTCGTAGCGCCGCAAAATGGCTATTATAAACTGTATCCAACTTGAACAAAACAACAAACAACCAGCGATGTCTAAATTTCAACTACACACTTAATAATAACGTACGTATTACGTCATTATAGATACACTAAAGTAACTAACCTTGAAACCATAGTTGGGCCAGGTATCACGGTATGACTGCTCGATGATACTCGTAACTTGACGCGTAAGTTACCGATCGCAAAATGCAGTATGACGGAAACACAGACTCCAATCCATAGAATACAAAGCGTTCTCTTTCTGGTAATCACGAAGGCTAGCTCTCCAACCGGCCAGTAGGGTGACATTTTAGACATCGATGACTGGAACGTAGGGTCGCCATATAACGTACGGTGGATACAGGTGTCCGTGCGCGCGTTTTCCTTCCTTACATATGTATTAACAGTTACGGTGCATGTTAAAACCTCGCGATGCCTCTTCACGGTCTCCGCATTTGCTAGCCGGAATCGTGTTACGGAAGTTCACTTGCAGTGCGCCTGGTCACGGATGAATGTATATCCCCCGTTCTAAAGAAATAAAACCAAATTGGTAGAAACTACGTAATTACTTTCCCGGCTCAGACACACATATAACGCCGAGACAGCGATGATGAGTGGGCAGAGTTACCATTAAGTATACCTTTGTATTATAACTGTTGAACAACGTCTTGATATAATCGGGTCGTGGCACAAAATGAGATAAACTCAACACCTCATACGATACTATACGCATATTGTGGCAGAATTGTTCGTGAATGTTAATTTCATAGACTGTTATTCGACATGCAGTGTATTAATTGATAGCGAGAAGCCAACACTTTTCCCACGTCGATCGATATAATATTCTTGTTAACGAGAATGATATCAATAAAGCGACAGAACAAATTAATACAATTGTTCAACGTACTATGATTGTTGTGACGGGCTGGCTCGTGGGGATTAAAAAGTCCGATTACGCGCTGTTTTGTTTTTTTTCAAATATTCAGCATCAAGTTTGAGAATTATACGTTGTGCAGAAGTAGACATTGTGTTAATTCACGTCACCAAATATACTGAGAATAGATTATATAGCTAATAATGTCGGGAAATGAATATGTGTGTGTTCAAAATCCATAAACCACTGTTTGTTTAATAGAATATAGATCCCGTGCCACTACGCACTAATTGACACTCCCATGATGCAACGCGAGTTTGAGTGTAACTGTCGTTTACACCATAACTAAAATTGAATATAGGGATGGGAACATGGAATATTACTATAAAATAGAAGGATGAAAGTAAAATTATGATTAGAAAAGTTGAAGTTATCAGGCAATTTATAAAGTTATTCCATTTTTTTAATGATTATGGCTTTTAGCTTGATTTACAGATGTTTTCACAAATAACATATGCTATCAAGTATTTAATTGATGTATGTTTAATTTCATTTTTGCTCATTGTGATTGTACTGTCTCAAAAAGATCGTATTAATTATGATTATGCCATTCAACGTTTTTGTCAAAAATAGCGAATCACAATAATTCTGTATAGAAAGCTGATAGAGCACACAATTATGTACTATAAGGTGGTTAGTATACATGGTCTACCAAGTGAGAACACACAAGGATACCGGCAATTTTGAAAGTTGAATCTATTTGAATAAATAAAATCATATTGCACCATATTGAAAACAAATTGAAAAAAAAACAAACAAGATTTTCTCATATTCATGGTGACCAAGCAATATAATTTACATACGAATTTTGCCCCATTCATATTGCGTAAATATTTGTAATACATGTACTACGTCAAATTACGCCGGGGTTATGACATATGCACAATATGCGAGATTTCAGTTGATAACAAACAAACAATCAAAACATTTTGCAATGGGTCAGAAAATATATTGGGGGGGGTCATTTAAGGCTTTAATTCATTATCACGGGAAACATTTGCATGAACGTATTGGATTCTACCAAGAGCCAAAAAACAACTTTTATAAACACGTGTTATTAGAAAACAGTTTCTTTCGACAAAGCTTCATGGGCCTAAACGTTCGCTAGTTCCACATGAAAGATGCACATTCCTAATCCCATCTTGTATTATTTGAAAACACTCAAACTAAATATTGTGATCACCATGAATTATGGGAAAATTAGTTGGTATGGCAACAAATCCTGAAATAATGGAGTACAGAAGGCTAGCTTGCATCGACGGTCGTGGTCTCAAACCAAACATAATTTTTATTGTTTTAGAAGCCTATATATTATGTAAAATAATGAATCTATTGTCTCAAGAAACCATAATATAGCATTCTTTTTTGTGCTACAGTGACGTATATTTTTGAGAAACTTTGTCCTAATATTTTTCAAAAATCGCTATTCGATAGAAACACAATGTTAAAGAAAAATTGTATTTTTGACACTTTTTTCGAACCCAGATTTGTTATTATATAATTCAAGACAACAAAACGTATTCCATAATTCACAATATTTTTTCAGCCCATATCACCAGCCTACAATTTGAGATATGACACAATATCTATGCCATAGGAACATATGGTAAAAGCGTTAAAATACTGCCAAAAATGACAACTATACACTAAAAAATATAACCAATTCATTTCTTCGAAAATTAAACTCGTGACCCCCAACTTTTTGAAGTCAATATTTTTATATTGTAAAATGAATATATTCTGGGTATTTGCATTCATTAGTAGGGTTCTACTTACCACGATACTCTATTGGTAATGTTTGGTATCATTTCTCATACCATGTGCAATATATAAAGCCATTGTGAGTATAGTGGGCGAAGTTAAAAGTTTTCTACAGATCTTACAAAGTAGGAATGCAACTTTATCAAGGGTGGAATTTTTTGTTTGGAAAATAATTAATTCACTTGTAAATCGATACTGGTTAGTAATTCGTTCCCTTGATCGTGTTTTCTTTTGGCGCAACATGTGTTACTGTAATAGCTGTGTTGAAATGTACACATATATGTCGGTATCGATCATCAATTCAGTCTAATCTCACATTTCTTGAAATCAATAAAACACAATATAATTCATGAATACATTGGATATTCAAACATTAGTCTCGACTCAGGTTGACACCTTTCATATAAGTCGAAATGAATTCCGTTACGTCAGCGTGACGTAGATAGTCGAACGCAATGTTTTGTTTAAGGCGACAACTGTGTTCGTTTATCGTCTAGAATACCGGTGAATCACCCCCCAAACATTATATCTTATCGATTCCGGAAACTTCCTGCCTTTCTCAAAGTTACGTCACATGCATGCCTCGTCTATGCAGGTATTGTGTATCATACAGTTCGTGGGAAATAAAACATATTTGTAAAATATATACGCGAGTATGTCATGATGGTGCATGTGGTACTTTCATTTTCAATTACAAATTGCGACATTGCTAGCGCCAGAACAGAGTTGTCACGTACGCGGCGCATCACTGACAAATATTTTTTTATTTTAAAAGTGGTCAGTTTGTTCCTAGTTTCAAGTTATTGAATTTGACGTGGTATTCGGTGAGTGGTATTATAATCGCCTTCAACTACTTTGACACACTGCTGCCACATATCGAACACTAAAATCTTTTTGTCTTATGACATTCTTGGTGTGGTTAGAATATTTGAACAGTCGTGAAACCGAGAAAATAAGAAACTGAACCAGAAATAAAATCGAATCAAGTCATAGTTATTCGAATCCGAAATGTCCCATGTAACGCATTGATGGCCAAATTATTGGCGTTTAGTTGCAAGAAACAAAACAGCGTTTAGATATATTACTTCTTACATGTATGGGAAAGGTTTAAAATCTCGTTTTGCATATTAAATGACAACGTATCGCACACAGAGACGTAATGGATTGAAATCAGTGATCCAGGCGTATATCTTATTGATCAAGTTGGTCAATATTGCGCTTATCGTTTCTCTGATATTAATTTGCAAACTTTATAAATTATAATCCACAAGATCCAATTTTAATTTTAAGCCATTTGGGATATTTTTGAAATTATAATAGAAAATATATAGACATATCCGTAAAATAAATCTTAATATAGATGGCCCTGTACTTGTAAATGAATAAGCAAATTATCTTTTGGTTTATTAGTCTAGTCGTATAATTATCAACATTAATGTATATACATATATGGGCAATACCGCTAAAATTACAATTGATTATAACAGATAAACTTTGACCCCTTCAAGTTTTGATCACTATTGATTTGACCAGGCAAGCCCACATTTCTAAAAAAATACACACAAAGACCTAAGCAATTATACCACACATCACCAGTACCCACAGTACGAAATAGACTATTGTACAATCAATGTACTATCCTGGAAATGCTAATTGCAGTGTGGTTGCCAGAGACGCACTCATAACAAGGGATGAACAATACATGCACCGTAAATTGCTTCAATTTCATGAAACAAACTTTCCTAAATTACACAAGCCGTCTAAAATCTCAAAAATTTGTAGTGGTAAAAATTGCTCATTTTTTTTTTTAAAAAAGAAGTTTTTATGGATAACCATAAAATTATAAAAGATTCTAGCATCAAAAAAAGTTTGTGACAAAAGTTAAGGAAATATATTTTACCCAATTTTGAATGGATGGTTCAACTTCTATCCATGAAATGAACACACCTGAAAGAGTTCCAATATTAATGCCAATTATTTATTTAAACTTGTTTATTTGTGTGATTCCTTCCTTAATTCTGCCTATTCGTAATGCAGCCTTCTTGAATCAGATTCTGAATGAAATGCATGTGCAAATGATGTACGTCCAAAGTTTGAATATGATCAGTCCAGCCATGTTAGCAATATGGCTCTAAAAACAGCATTCGTTAAAAACAAAATGGCCATCAGTCAGCCATTTTGAATCAAATCATGATTCAATGAACATACCAAGTTTGAATGAAATATATCCATGCACAACTGAGACCCCAGGGTGGAATGGCAATGCTTGATTTAGATGAATTTTTAGCACTAAAATGGCTGCCATTCGGCCATCTTGAATTGGATCATGAAACAAATGCATGTGGATATGTATGATATGATGTGTATGTGAAGTTTGAATGAAAACGACCCAGACATGTCTGACATACAGGTGCAGACAGATGCATGGAAGTGAAATTATAAGTCTTTATTTTCAGACTGCATCTGAACAGGGAGCTACTGGTAACAAGAACATCAGAAACCATTTTATGCAAAGTCATTTATTAAAAATAAATTGTTAAGTATTCACAGCAGTACACTGACAATATATCATCAAGAGTACATGGTAGATGGGGTGCAACAAAAACACCCCTAAATGTTATAATTAGGAAGTCCGAGGACAATATATTTTTATGCAAGAGGCGAAACCAATTCATCGCAGACAGATTGGCTGGCAGGTTTGATAAAAGATAACAAGCATGTAAATAGCTTCATTAGTTATGCACAGTCTGGTGTCATGATCTCCAGAGATTGGATGGTAGAGTGCCTTTCGGTGGAGGTACTGCATTATTTTTGAAGCAAGTCTGAAGAAAACAGAAAAACATCATTAATATTAACCCACTAGATCATGTCCAATTTTGTGAATACAAATATGAAACAAACGTATGTGTTCATCAGTTTTGATTTTCTATCTGACAACAAAGACCTTACGGCTTCAAAGTGAATTGTCTTTGATTAGATTGAGAAACAAGTGCCATACATGCATGAAAGAGATGCCAGTATATTTGTGCTGTGACTGAATTCACCTTAACCAGTGAACATCTGGCAAAAATGTACTACCACAATCACAAACCCATTCCCTAGATTTTTGTAATTCATATATCTCAAAGGCAGTTGAATCTAACCCAAGCAATCAACAAGCATGTTTCTTTGATACTTTGTTTTTATTTATCTGTGTTTGTTTTTTTAACACAAAAGTGACGTTCAAGTCCTACATTATTTAAAGGTAAATCAAAATGGTTGAATATTCAAGTCAAATCTTTTGTCTAAGCACAACTGAGAACCCATTGTTATACGCGAAACAAAAAGTGATTGAGCAAACTATTTATATATCGGAAGAGTCAATAGAATAATAAGTACAATAATCATAATCAAACTACCATGCGCATATTACATGCTAGCAATTCTGTTGATTATGTTTAGATTAGTAATTTACATATTTCACTATAACAAACTAACACCATGCCATGATGTAATAAAAGTTTCAGGATCCCCAAAACAAGAATGTGATATCAACACTTACCTCTAAGAACGTTTTAAGTCTGGATACTGATCCACCAGACCCAGGTATTGTTACTTTTTCTATTCTGTGTTACCAAAAAAAAACACAAAAAAAACAGCGTAAATGAAAATTATAAGAAACACTTTAACTGAAAGTGGTAAAGTGCCTTTGTCATTGTGTTGCATGGAGTCCATATTGATTGAGGCACGACGCGATGACCTTCTTTCTTTAACGATTCATATATGAAGTCCAATCTACTACCTCACAAGACTTGTGTACATGTATGACTGATACATGTAATACAATATTAATATTAAAGTACAGTAGCTTCATGGGTGTCAGGATCCGAGCAAAAAAACTTGATATTACATAGGTCAGACTGAATAACTTTTGCTTTCAGAATGATAGATTGTTGACATTGCAGTGAGGTTGATAAGGCTTTACTGGCCACAACAAATAAAAACAAAAACAAATAGAAACAAATAAAATCATGAGTTAACAACTAATGCCAATGACATCAACATGGCAATGATGTATCACATCAACAATAGCCAATAAAATACATGAAGCAATGAATAAAAACTACTGCAAAAAACTACAATAGAACTTTTCTGGAGCCTACCAATGACCCACGACTTAGCCGATATCATGACTTATTGAGGCAAAACTTAGCGAGGGGTCACTGTATACTTACAAAGGGTAGAAATCTTTTATTAAGATTCCCAGTATTTTAATGAACTGTTTTCGATACAAACTTGTCACTTTGTGCCCACACACCTGGAAAAAAAAGAGAGATGAGCTCATGAGATATTAAGATAGTCATCAAGAACTGGAACATGCAGTTGGAACATTTGAAAGCATTTAATTTATTATAATATTCACAGCATCAGTTATGAATAATAATTACAAAAGCAAAACTAATAAGTGGTTATGTGGCACATCGTATAACCATGGTTTCTCTAATTTAATATATGCAATATTATAATTTTTATATAAAAATGGAGGCAGTCGGTTAACAAAACAATTATGCAAAGAAAGGTATTAAATTAACATATGCAAAAAGGAAGTGAGGAAAAATTATTGATTGATCATTAAATATTGATTCAAGTGAAGTATTTATACAATATTTGTGAATTTGTTAACACATTTATGCAAATTAAAATACCAACACAACTTTACCTGTAGCATGTCGTATATCAGTGTAGCCGTGATATCATTACGTGGCTCCAGATTCATTATTCGTGAAAACCACTTCCAACCATTATCAAGACCATGCGGATGAGGCTAGGAAAGAGAGAGTGAAAGAGATGGGTTACAAAATATGAACACAAGCAGGGGTGTCACAAATTCATTTAATAGCAGGCCATCATCCTGTAACAACAGGCCAACAAATTAATAAACATAGTTGAACTCTGGTGACCTTGCCCTTTGTTATATAATATAATTCCCTTTATCATAGTTTGTTTCAATATAAATATGCATTGTCATAATTAATTTTGAATACAAACAAGTTTTGGGGTTGAACCAACAGTGGGGAATCAGTCTACCGAATGTCCTTAAAAGATGTAAATATTTTACAAAAACATTGGTGCCTTATTTGTTTAATTATTTTAAGGAACATAATTTCCAGCTTTATTGAAAGTAATTGAGATATTTTAGAATAAAAACAAATGTCTCATTGCAAAAAATAGGGCTGCATTTAGATGTGAATAGATTCATAAAACATGCAAGATAACAGAAAAATTTAGCTGGCTTTAGTCCAAGTATTTTGTACAGGTGTCTGTCAAAAATGAATGATTCACTTAGACAAATATGAACTGCCTCATTGTGTGACTACTGTATTATATGAAAAGTAAAAAAAAACATCCTTTATGAATAGCTATAATGTTGCAAGCTCTGC